AAAAAGTATTTTACATTTACTGATGCATTTGTCATTTTGAATCCTTGTGTACATCCACATTTCCCTCTAGTGCCATTTTCCTTCTACCTGAGGAATGTCCTGTAACATTTCTTGGAGTGTAGGTTCCCTAGTTAATTAATTCTCTCAGCTTTTGTTTGTCTGAAAAGCTGATTTTGAAAGAAATTTTATGCAGGATAGAATTCTGGATTGATTGCTTTCTTTTTCTTTTCAGTACTTTTTTTGAGACAGGGTCTGGCCCTGGCACCCAGACTGGAGTGCAGTGGTGCAATCATGCCTCATTGCAGCCTCGAGCTCCCAGGCTCAAGTAATTCTGTCACCTCAGCCTCCCAAGTAGCTGGGACCACAGGCCTATGCCACCACACCTGGCTAATTTTTTTTATTATTATTTTTAGCAGACAAGAGGTCTTGCTATGTTGCCTGGTCTTGCTATGTTGCCTTGGCTGGTCTCAAACTCCTGATCCTTCTGCCTCGGCCTCCCAAATTGCTGGGATTACAGATGTGAGCCTCTGCACCTGGCCTCCTTTCAGTACTTTAAGGATGTCACTCTATTGTCTCCTGGTGTGTATAGTTTCTGGATGACAAATCTGCCATCACTTACCTTGCTCTTTTTGTACACAATGGGTTTTTTTAACTGACCTGCCCCTGCTTTTTTTTTTTTTTTTTTTTTTTTTTTTTTTTTTGAGATGGAGTCTCGCTCTGCTGCCCAGGCTGGAGTGCAGTGGCGTGATCTCTGCTCACTGCAAGCTCCGCCTCCCAGGTTTACGCCATTCTCCTGCGTCAGCCTCCCAAGTAACTGGGACTGCAGGCGCCCGCCACCACACCTGGCTAATTTTTTGTATTTTTAGTAGAGACGGGGTTTCACCGTGTTAGCCAGGATGGTCTACGATCTCCTGACCTCATGATCCGTCCACCTCGGCCTCCCAAAGTGCTGGGATTACAGGCGCAGGCCACTGCATCCAGCCTTCCCTGACCTGCTTTTAAGATTTTCTCTTTGTCACTAGTTTCCGGCAGTTTGATTATGATGTGCCTTAATATAGTTTTCTCCATGCTCCTTCTGCTTTGGTTTGATTAAAGTTCTTGGATCTATGGCTATGAAGTTTTCATTAAATGTGAAAAAATGTTGGCCCTATTTCTTCAAATATTCTGTCTCCCTCCTTTATTTCTGAAGCTGCAGAGATACACATGTTAAACCACTTGATCTTGTCCACAGATCACTGGATTCTCTGTTAATTTGTTTTCTCAATGTGTTTCATTTTTGGACAGTTGCTATTCCTATGTCTTTGAGCTCACTGATGTTTTCTTCTGCAGCATCTCTCTGCTGTTAATCCCACATCACGTATTTTTTACTCCAGATATTATATTTTTATCTCTAGTAAATTCCATTTGAATCTTTCTTATATTATTAATTTCTCTTCTCATTTATGTTTCTGTTTTTCCCTACCTTCATGAATATATGGAATATATTTATAATAGTTGCTTTAAAGTCTTTATCTGTTAATACCATCATGTATTTTATTTCTGAGTCTTTTCTGTTGATTGATATTTCTCTTGGTGATGTTCATATTTTCCTGTTTCTTTGCATGCCTGGTACTTTTTGATTAGATGTTGGCATTGTAAAATTTTACATTGTTGGGTGCTGGATTTTGTTGTATTCTTTTAAATAGTGTTCAGCTTTTTTTCTGGCATGTAGTTCAGTAACTTGAAATCAGTTTGATCCTTTCAAGGTTTGCTTTTAAATTTTATAGAGTGGGATCAGAGTAGTCTCTTTGAGTAGAACTAATTTTGTCTTCTACCAAGTGGATCCTGCCAAATGCCCTGTATTAAGATATCTTCACACTCTGGCTGGTGATTACATGATCTATTTCCACCCTGTGAGTCCCAGGAATCGTTTGGCCTGCCTGTGGAGTTTTGGTGGTTATGATCACTATCCTCACATAGTTTTCTCACATGAATGCATACAATGTTCAGCAAAGTCTCTTCAGGGGACTCTTCAGCAGACCTCCAAAACAAGCAATTTCTCTCTCTGTCTCTGAAACATAGACACACACACCAGACACAGACACAGACACAGACATAGACACACACACACTCATACACCCTCTGCTATGGTCTGAATGTCCATGTCCTGCCCAAATCATATGCTGAAATCTTAATTCCTAAGGTGATAGTATGAAGAGGTGGGGCCTTTGGGAGGTGATTAGGTCATGAATGGGATTAGTGCCCTTATAAACAAGGCCCAAGGGAGCTTATCTGCTCCTTCCACCATGTGAGGATGCAGCACACAATTGCCATCTATAAAGAATGGAACCTCCCTAGACACTGAATCTGCTGGTACCTTGATCTTGGACTTCCCATCCTGCAGAACTGTGAGAAATAAATGTGTATTGTTTATAAGCCACATAGTTTATGGTATTTTTGTTATAACAGTCTGAATGGACTGTGTCTCTCTGTCTGTTTCTGTCTGTCTCGGTCTCTGTCTCCCTCTCTCTCTCTTTCTCTCTCTCTTTGTCTCTGTAGTTCCCTTCACTCACACACTTTGCCCTTCAAACTCTAGCCACCTCGGCCTCCCCAAATTCTGATCAGTCTCCTCCATTCAGTGAGACCACTGAGATCTCTTTGGTTTCCCCTCCCTTTCCTGGGCTTAAGAACTGCCTCAGACAGTAATGCAGAGCCCTCATAGGTCTCATCTTGTTTGCTTCTTTTCTCCAGTGATCAAAGTCTTGCACTGCCTGACATCTAGTGTCTGAATATATTTTTCATATATTAGGTCTGGCTTTCTCTTTATCTAAGGATGAGTGAAGGTGTAAACTGCCCTCTGTTATGCCATCGTGGCCGGAAGTAGAAAACTCATGATTTATTTTTACTTTATTTATTTTGTTTTTGAGACAGAGTCTTGCTCTGTCGCCCAGGTTGGAATGCAGTGGTGTGATTCTGGCTCACTGCAAACTCCACCTTCCAACTTTAAGCAATTCTTCTACCTCAGCCTCCTGAGTAGCTGGTATTATAAGAGTGCGCCACCACACTCAGCTAATTTTTGTATTTTTAGTAGAGACAGGGTTTCACCATCTTGGCCAGGTTGATCTCAAACTCCTGACCTCCAGTGATCTGCCTGCCTCAGCCTCCTAAAGGACTGGGATTACAGTCATGAACCAGCGCCCAGCCTGATTTATTTTTAAAATCTAGGGCAAGGGTAGTTTTCCCATTCATAGAGAACATCTTAACAGACATTTCTCAAAATTTGTTCTAATTCCCAAGCATGGGTCAACAGTCTCTGTAGTAGATCTTACAGCTTTTCTATCGTTTGGTTGTCAGCTTTTCTGAACCCCTTCCATGGCTCATGCTTTCCTGTCTCTGTAAAACTAGACATCACTATGTGATTCACTTTGGCCCAAAGAAACATAGCTGGGGAGATGTGTACGGTTCCAGGTAGAAGCATATCATTGCGATGTTCATCCCTCCAGCTGTCCTCCCACTTCCCATGGTGATGATGGGACTAAGCATTGGTGCAAAGGGGCTGAAGAGTTACAGCAGCTTAGAAGGCAGAGCCAGCACACAGAGGAGAGATGGCCTGGATTGCCACTCAGACCTGTAGCAGAATGTGCTCAAGCAAGAAATCAGCTCCTACTATGTTGGGCCATTGAGACTGGTATTTGTGTGTTACGCAGCAGGAACTATTCCTGCCTGTCGTGACTGGTCTTGTCTCTCTCTCTTTTTTGAGCCAGTGTGTGCTCACTCTGCCCCTAAACACATGTCTAAAAATGTATTGGTGTAATGAAGCAGGAGTATTTGAAAATGTGCCATATAGAAAGCTATTCATCCACTCTAAAATGCAGAGGAAGAGGAAGCAAAACAAAACATGAATTTGCAAATGCAAACAAATGATTTTTGTGAGACTGAATGATCTTTTTGATGTTTAAATCACTTCCAGATGGATCAATTGGTTGCAACTGAGAAGAGATTATTCTTCCCTTGCCACACATCTACACAGAGGGTAGCAAATTCATTAGCATAAATGGGAGGTATATAGCCACAACAGGAGAAGAATTGACCACTGGTGAATTAAAATTTTTCTTTGAGGAGCTCCCAGCTCCTAATCCTCTTCTTTTGCGTGATATTAACTCTGCATTTCCTAATGTCATTGGGAATTTCTTTGTAGTTAAGATTTATATTCCAACCACCTTTAAGGGGTACTTGTAATAGCTTCTAAAATAGGAATCTTTTTTTCTTTCTCTTTTTTTTTTTAGATGGGTCTCACTTTGTCACCCAGTCTGGAGTGCAGTGGTGTAATCTTGGCTCACTGAAGCCTTGACCTCCCAGGCTCAAGGACCCTTCCGCCTCAGACCCCTGAGTAGCTGGGATTACAGGCGCACCCCACCATGCCCAGCTAATGTTTGTATTTTTTGTAGAGACAGGGTTTCGCCGTGTTACCCAGGCGGGTCTCGAATTCCTGGGCTTAAGCAATCCACACACCTCAGCCTCTCAAAGTGCTGGGATTACAGGTGTGATCCATCACACCTGGCCTTAAAATAGGAATTTGTCACCTATGGTCCAGATAATTCTGGGGGTTGGGGGAAGGGGTACCAATGAACCATGTGAGACTTTAGGCAAATCGTTCAAGTGCATATTTTACATTTTTTCTGGGGAAAGGATTTGTACCTGTCATCAGATTCTTAAAAATCTGGGTGACTCAATAAAAGTTAGGAGCCACTGCCTTAAAAACACAGGCCCGGTGCAGTGGCTCATGCCTGTAATCCCAGCACTCTGGGAGGCCAAAATGAGTGGATCACTTGAGGTCAGGAGTTTGAGACCAGCCTGCCAACATGGTGAAACCCCGTCTCTATTAAAAATACGAAAAAAAGGAAAAAAACCGGGCATGGTGGCGTGTGCCTGTAATCCCAGCTACATGGGAGACTGAGGCAGGAGAATCACTTGAACCTGGGAGGCGGAGGTTGGAGTGTACCGAGATTGCACCACTGCACTCCAGCCTGGGCGACAGAGTGAGACTCTGTCTAAAAAAAAAAAAGACAAAGTCAGTTTCCATACCATACCAGACTTTCATTTCATATTTCATCAACCACATCCTGTTATTTTTCTTGGAACCGCTTCTCCTCCTCTCCTTTTTCTGACAACACACGCACTGAAGAAGCGTGTCATGGAGAGGCAGGGAGGGATAATTTCGCAGGTCAGGGGAGGTCAGTTTCCCCTTAGCCCTCAAAGGTGCGGGCTGATTAGCAGGTCAGCTGTCTGAGCAAGACAGTATTGAACCCAAGCCATCACTCCGAAGGGCGCCCGGAGGATCTTTCTGGCGCAGAACAGCTCCAGCAAACAACAGCCAATCCAAGATCTTTGCTCACCCTTTGGCGCTCAAGAAGGGGAGAGATGGCAAGTAGCTGAGCCTCGAGGACAAAGGAGAGAAAGTCTTTGTGTTGAACAGGTGTGTTCCCTTTCAAAGCCAATTGCCCTGTTTGGCTCAGGGAGGACTTTGGGTTTTTGGATGAAGGGTTTTAGAAACAACGGGGAAAGTTGTGGTGGCAGAGAATGAAAAGTATAGCCAACAGCAGAAGTAGTGAGATTTCTATAAACATCTTGGCACTGAGAGGCAGAGAAAGCTGATTTAACTAATTATGAGCAAACCCTTCCGGATGTAAAGAGAGTGGGAAAAGTCTGGCTGTCTGGTCAACATTATTGTCTAAATAAATCCACGCAGGCCAGCAGTGGGCCACTGGGCATCGCTCAGGCAGGAAGCAAGTCGGCCTTGAAAACAGCTGCAGCTCCTGAAACAGGGCCAGGCCTGGAGTCTTCCCGCTCACACACTACCGAGTCTTTTCTTTTCTTTTTTTTTTTTTTTGAGAGACAGAGTCTCACTCTGTAGCCCAGGCTGGAGTGCAGTGGTGCCATCTCAACTCACTGAAACCTCCACCTCCCAGACTCAAGCCATTCTCCTGCCTCAGTCTACCGAGTAGCTGAGACTACTGGCTAATTTTTGTATTTTTGTATTTTTTTTTTTTTTTTTGAGACGGAGTCTTGCTCTGTCGCCCAGGCTGGAGTGCAGTGGCCGGATCTCAGCTCACTGCAAGCTCTGCCTCCCGGGTTTATGCCATTCTCCTGCCTCAACCTCCCGAGTAGCTGGGACTACAGGCGCCCGCCACCTCACCCGGCTAGTTTTTTGTATTTTTAGTAGAGACGGGGTTTCACCGTGTTAGCCAGGATGGTCTCGATCTCCTGACCTCGTGATCCGCCCGTCTCGGCCTCCCAAAGTGCTGGGATTACAGGCTTGAGCCACCGCGCCCGGCTATTTTTGTATTTTTAATAGAGGTGGGGTTTCCCCATGTTGGCCAGGCTGGGTCTCGAACTCCTGACTTCAAATGATGCACTCACCTCAGCCTCCCAAAGTGCTGGGATTACAGGCGTGAGCCATCGCGCTCGGCCCACTGAGTCCGAATGTATCAATTTACTTAAAAACGTACACTGTGAGGGCATTTTTATAGTACAAAAGCCATGCCCTGGGTGAAGATTGAGCAGAATACCTTTTTAAGGTGCTACAGAAGTGAGGACTCCAAAGGCGGAAGGGAGGCGGCTGACCTTGGACAGAGGTCCATTTTCCTCTTTATCGTGCACACGAAATCGCAGCAGATCCTTTTTTTTGCTCTCATTTTTTTTATGTCTTACGTGGATTCGTGTTCAGTTTTGTGGTTAAAATAGTCACATAGCTTGATCTTCAAAAGTGCTGCAATATTTTTTCATTGCTATTGGCTTTCTATTTCACTCCCCCTTTTTTTCCACATTTGCTGTAGAAATCTATCCATGGTGTGGTGGTGAAGTTGCTCTCCTGTTTCTAGAGCTATGGTGAAAGGAACAGCGATCTGTGCATTCGTCAGCAAATGAAGACAACCTCTTAACTCTGCTGAATTAGACAGCAATGCAGTAGACAAACGAGTGATCTCAAAGAGATAAAGAAACCAGAGAGGCAGTGTGACCACCAGTAAAAACAATGGGTGAGGCTGGGTGCGGTGTCTCACACCTGTAATCCCAGCACTTTCAGAGGCTGAGGTAGGAGGATCACTTGAGTCCAGGAGTTGGAGACCAGCCTGGGCAATAAAGTGAGATCTCATCTCTACAAAAGATAAAAAGTTAGGCACCTGTGGTCACAGCTACTTGGGAGGCTGAGATGGGAGGATTGTTTGAGTACAGGAGGTTGAGGCTGCAGTGAGCCCTGTTCACACCACTGCACTCCAGCCTGGGTGACAGAATGAGACCCTGTCTCAAAAATAAAATGAGGCCGGGTGCAGTGGCTGATCCCTGTAATCCCAGTACTTTGGGAGGCTGAGGCAGGAGGATCACTTGAGGTCAGCAGTTCAAGACCAGCCTGGACAACATGGCGAAACCCTATCTCTACTAAGAATACAAAAATTAGCCAGGTGTGGTGGTGCACACCTGTAGTCTCAACTACTCGGGAGGCTGAGGCAAGAGAATGGCTTGAACCCGAAAGGCAGAGGTTGCAGTGAGCCAAGATTGTGCCATTGCACTCCAGCCTGGGTGACAGAGCAAGACTCCATCTCAAGGCCGGGCGCGGTGGCTCAAGCCTGTAATCCCAGCACTTAGGGAGGCCGAGACGGGCGGATCACGAGGTCAGGAGATCGAGACCATCCTGGCTGACACGGTGAAACCCCGTCTCTACT